TGACGAATTAACGATGGCGTCGATTCAGCCGTTAAATATCCAATCCTCTTTGCTTGTCGGGGGGCTTCGCCCCAAAGGATTCACCGATATGGTACGTTGCAAGAGGGGCAACAATTAACCCAAAAATTCAAAATTAAATAAGGGTTCTGCAAAAATTCAGCAAAATCATTATTTTCAAAAAGAATGCAGTCCGATGGCCAGATGCCGACGGATCGGCCTTGTCTGAGGGCAGACTTACACGACGACTTTTTTACTTGTACATTTATGGACGTGATTGCGGCCAGATGCATCCAGGAATGACCGTGATTGCAGTCGGATGCATTTCAGAAACTGCTGGTGTGAGTATGCCCTCAGGAAAATGCCTAAACAGAACTGGGCGGTAAACCGCAGAGGCAGAGACGAAGAGAGGGAGACGTGGTGTCTCTCGCTCTCTCATCACACACACACACACACACACACACACACACACACACGCACGCACACACACACACACACACACAAAGGCACACAATCACTCCGTCGCACACCCAAACACACACAATCCTCAAGTGTTTCAACGATATCTCTCGCTCTCTCACACACACACACACATACACACACAATCACTCCTTATCACACACAAACAAACAATCCTCAAGTGTTTTAACGATGTCTCTCTCTCTCTCTCTCTCTCTCTCTCTCTCACACACACACACACACACACACACACACAAAGGCACACAATCTCTCCTTCGCACACACGAACACACACAATCCTCAAAGTGTTTCAACGATCTCTCTCTCTCTCTCTCTCTCTCTCTCTCTCTCTCTCTCTCTCTCTCTCTCTCTCCCCGGCGGCCTCTACCTTCAAGCATTAATCTGTCTTGACCTAAACGCAGAGCAGAGTAACTACACCACCCAGAAGACGTCTATCATATTCCGTATGTGGTTTAGTTCTTTTTTTTGTTTTGATTTTAACCGCATTCTACATCCGTGTGTACGTAATCTCTCCATAGACAATTTCATTTTGAACATGGCACCACAGAGGAAGAAGGTTCATTAGAGCGCCTGAATTACCACTCTTATATATAACAGTCCTCTTCTTCGAGTCACGCGACAAAATACGCGAGGACAAGGTATGCATAGCCTTTTCTATATACACATATACTATTATATTATATAATACATCAGCTTCCTGATGACTCAGTCGGTGAAACTCCGACGAAACAGTTTGTCACAGCCCCTCGTTTGTTGAAAAGATAGATAGATAGATAGATAGATAGAGAGAGAGAGAGAGAGAGAGAGAGAGAGAGAGAGAGAGAGAGAGAGAGAGAGAGAGAGAGAGAGAGAGAGAGAAGGCTCCTTTGCCCCCCTGGCAACTGGCCTGTGTTCGAATGTGATCGCTGGAAATGGGGATAGATTCTTAGAAGTATCATAATCTTATTATCTTTCTTTCTTTTTTTTTTTTTTTTCTTTTTTTTCTTTTTTTTTTTTTAATAGAAAGGCGGCGGCCTTGAGATATCATCTTCAATACCTTTCTCGGCCTTTTGGCTAAGATCAAGTGTAGTATCTGTTCTGATCAGTTTAATATCTGCTCCGTGCTTCATCGGACCATTAAAAAAAAAATAAAAAAAATCATCTTCGAGCTGACCGGGCCCAGTTAATTCACCAATTCATTGGTACTCAACTGAATCCATCTGGATTCGAACTGAGGTCTGTAGAGATCAGCAATTCATTGGTGCACTGGCTTCTCGCTAATTCAGTTAATTCAGTTGGGTTTTATTATCTTCTTATCAATCTTAAGATGTGCGACCTTGACAGCAAAGTAAAAGGAAGGGCTGCACACACACATCGTCCCTGTTGTCCCTAAGCAAAAAAAAAAAAAAAAAAAAAAAAAAAAAGCAGTCTCGAGAAAGAGAGAGACCCAAGAAAAAAGAAAAAAGAAAAAAGAAAAAAGAAAAAAAAAGAAAGAAAGAGGTAAGAAGAAAAGAAAATCCAGCAATCTGTGGCATCTTGTCTGTTGTGTGGGTGGGGGAGAGAGCTGCCTTCAATTTCGGGTCAACTTTGGTAAAAAAAAAAAGAGACTAAAAAAAACAGAAAAAAAAAACAGAAAAAAGAAAGAGAGAAAAAAAGAGCAAAAATAAAGAGAAAAAAAGAAAGAGAAAAAAAAAGGCTGGTAATGGCCTGAGGCATCAGGCATGCAAAAAACGATGTTTTTTTTTTGTTGTTTTGAACGGAAAAGGGAAAAGACTATCAAGCGTTCATTTTTTATTATCGTTTTTTTAATTATTATTTTTCCTATCAAGAGTTCACCCTTCTTCGGCAACACGTGGCTTACCCGAGGCGAGGTCTCACAAGCCACGATGAGTGGAGTAAGTGTCTGAATCTGGATGTGTTTATGCAGAGATGCAGAAATTTAAAGCAGGTTAATTAGAATTATGTCGTCAGGGTTCAGCTTGGCTGGTGTCGCTCCACTACTATCCACATGCACGAAAGACAAAAAAAATTGGCTGTGTTATCTTCCCATGTTCTAGGGGAAGATTCATTCCTTTTGCACATTTGCTGAGTAGGGTTGACAGAGGCCCTTGCTCAGCCCATGGACTACGGTCCATTATGTGAGGGGCGCTGGGCTCGGTTCCCAGCATATAATGAATTGCTTTTTTTTTCCAAAACGAAAAAAAAAAGTCCATTATGTGAGGGGCGCTGGGCTCGGTTCCCAGCATATAATGAATTGCTTTTTTTTTCCAAAAAAAAAAAACAACTCCATTATGTGAGGGGCGGTGGGCTCGATTCCCAGCATATAATGAATTGCTTTTTTTTCCCCAAAAAACAAAAAAAAGTCCATTATGTGAGGGGCGCTGGGCTCGATTCCCAGCATATAATGAATTGCTTTTTGTTTCCAAAAAAAAAAAAAAAGTTCATTATGTGAGGGGCGCTGGGCTCGATTCCCAGGATATAATGAATTGCTTTTTTTTTTTCCAAAAAAAAAAAAAAAGTCCATTATGTGAGGGGCG